GCTACTGCAGTGTTTGTGGGTATGCCACAAGGGGCAAAATACTTCTTAGATGTAAGGAGCCTACTTGTTCCAACTACTACCACACAAATTGCATTCCTGAAGAAGAGTTTTGTTGCAGCCAGGTTGAAAATTTCAGAAAATTGAAGGATATCCATAATCCTGTGGTTTATGTGGATACAAGCCTGGAGCTACAGGAGGAAGTTTCAGAAGTACTACCTCAGGGACTCCTGTCCAAAGATCAAGACTGCCCTCTTGGGCTGTGTTGTAAAGTCGCAGCTAAGATAACCCATCACAGGGAAGCACTTCATGAGCTCTTCAAATCATTAGATAACCTTCAAGCTATTGTAGAAGGTCAGTGCAAGCCTACATCAAGTGACGTAAGCTGCTCAGCTGATGGTGACACTATTGACAAAGACAAAGTCCCACACTTGAGCTTAACTCAGGGGTAAATAACTGGTAGAATTCTGTCATCACTAAGGCCCTACAGATTGACAGAGTTCAAAAAACTACCTTTGGGAATTCTAACACAATTCCTCTGACCACCACAGAGGGAACAAATCCTCTTCCCAGCAATGAAGGAAGCCTTGGAATTGTTAATTCTCCTACACTTGACATCTCTGCTTCAGCCACTGCCAGTCCACTAGACAGTGCACATACCATCTCTGATCCTACACCTGTCAGGACACCTGCCGACACTATTCCAGCGTCTGGCAGCAGTGCTTCATCACCAAGTTCTGAGTCAGGAGTTTCTCCACCAGATATTGGTGCAGTTAATAATCAGGGAACTATCACTGCACCTGATCACCTACTGCGCCAAAGTACGAACAGCAGGGACACATCTGTCAGAACTGGTAGAGGACGGGGTAGAGGACGTGGAAGAGTACGTAGAGGAGGAAGACATCTACAGCTGTCTCACCTTTCACCAATGCAGTCCCAGCAGCAGAACCTGTGGACAAATCAGCAAAACACAGGAGGTGCAACAAATAATAGTCCACTCTCCCAGGCACCTAGGCAGTGCTCTTGCTGTCACTGGAAGGGGCACACCACCAACAACTGCCTCCGAGATATCAGGTGCAATTCCTGCCACAAGAAAGGACATCAGGAGGACCAGTGTCGGAAGAAAAAGGAACTTGACAGACAGGACCACCTGTTTAAAGATCTGCTCTTGGAACAAACCAGCAGGATGCCTGAACTGGTGAACACACTCATACGACACCCACTCAGCTACTCCTATCTCAGCCCAGCAGGTGGTATTGAGCCTTATACAAGATCACAGACCTACATCCCTGCAGCTGCCTCAGTGCCCTACCACTCAAGGGCATGCACCTTACATGCCTTACACACCCACCACCTCAAGCTGACCACATCATGAGGAACCAGTCTATCAGCATCCTGTCAGCCAACATTAGAGGTTTCATTACTAATGTTGGAGAGCTCACACACAGTTTTGTGAATACTCGACGTCCCGACACGATAGCTGTTACTGAAACATTTTTGGACGACAGGACTCCAGAAAATTTTGCAAGAATTGCTGGCTACACCTCATGGATGAGAAGAGACAGGCAAGGGCAAGGAGGTGTTGCTCTGCACTTCTCTAAAAGTGTTCATGCCCAGCACATTGATGTTGCCATCCCTACTCATCTTGAAATGATGTTCTTCAAGCTATGCATAAACACTAATACCTCTGTACTAGCATGTGCAATGTACAGACCTCAGTGGCAACATGCACACCCCATCAACTTCCTAATGGAAAATGTGGACTCCCTTCTGCTACAACACAACTGTCAAAATATCGTAATTGTTGGTGACCTCAACCAACACCTTATACAGAGGAACTTTGATGACCTTCTAGAAGTATTTGACATGAGAAACTTTGTTGATTTCCCTACTCACATCTCTGGCTCCTCCCTTGATGCAGTAGTGAGTGATCTGGCAGAAAGTATAGTCACTTGTCAACCCCTTGGCTATGTTGGATCATCTGACCACAAGGCTGTTTTTACGACACTTAAGATCCCAAAAGAACGAAGTGAGGAGTCTACACGCATGACCTTGCTATGGGAAAAAGGTAATTGGCCAGCCCTTTGCTCTGAGCTCGCCACCACCGATTGGAATGTTCTTCTCCATGGGGAAGCTGACAACCAAGTGAAAGTCTTCACTGGACACATCCTTAATCTACAACAAGAACACACTCCCACCGGCAATATGTGGCAAAGCTTACAGATCAGCCTTGGTTTGGCTTTTGTTGCAGAGAGGTTGCTACTGCTAAGTACAAGGCATGGTGAAGGTATAAGAGACATCCTACCACCTATAACAGGAACTTGCACAGGCAAGCCTGTAGGCATATGGGTGACATTCAAAAGTGGGCCATTGCTAAATGGGAGGTGGACACAAAAAGAAAGCTAGCATCAGGTAGAGTAGGCTCCAAAACCTGGTGGTCCCTGGTCAAGGACAGACAAGGTTATCTGCCTGATGAACTCATTCTACCTCTAAATTGACAGGATGGGACCACCTCTACTAGTAGTCAAGAGAAAGCGGACCTCTTTGCAGAACACACTGCTACCAAAATGCAAGTTCCTGATCCAGCAAGGGACCCTCCTTGGCTAGTTGCAACAACTGTTTCAAAACTGTCAGTGGTGACAATAAGGCAGAAGGAAGTGCATTTCCTTCTTAAATCGCTTGACCAAGAAAAGGCTGTGGACCCAGACATGTTGAGCCCAAGATTGCTGAGAATATGTGCAGACCAGCTAGCAGCACCTCTAACTCGCATCTTTCAGTACTGCCTTGTACAGTGTAAATGGCCTTCTCTGTGGAAAGAGGCAAATGTAGTCCCTGTTCGCAAAAAGAAGAGCAGAGCAGAAATCAGCAACTGCAGACCAGTGTCACTGCTGTCAATCACTGGCAAGATCCTGGAGACAATAATCTCTAGACAAATGACAGTTTTTTGACTACCACTCACTACTTTGTGACTATCAACTTGGCTTCAGGAAAGGTTACTCTGCTGCTGACCTGTTGTTAAACCTCTCCACTAAGTGGCACCAATCACTGGATGAATCCAAAGTCAGCTGTGTGGTAGCACTGGATACTTCTGGTTCTTTTGACCAGGTGTGGCACCAGGGCCTCTTAGCAAAACTGCAAGCTCTGGGAATTGCAGGCTCTACACTATGTCTCCTCAGTGATTACCCTCATGGTAGATCTCTAACGGTAGTTCTCAATGGAACGGAATCAGCAAGACATCCTATTGGGGCAAGTGTTCCACAAGGAAGTGTGCTGGGACCACTGTTATGGAATGTTTACTTCAATGACCTTCTTCATCTCATCCCAGAATCCCATGCATATGCAGACGATTGTACACCAACATTCACTTATCCAAGAGAAGAAATGCTAGCTGCTCTAAGCTACATCAATCACCAGCTAAGAGCTATATCAGCTTGGGGAAATAGATGGCAAGTAACATTTGCACTTGAGAAAACACAAATGATGATAGTCTCTAGGCACCATGATGGTAATGCCAGTGCAGTAGTAAGGATGAATGGGAGGGTGTTGGCACCTGGGGAAGAAGTTGATATCCTTGGGGTGAAATACGACTCCAAACTGACCATGAAGAACCATGTTGTAAATCTTGCAAACAAGGCAGCCAGGAAGCTTACAGCACTTTGCCATATCTCACATCTGTTTGACAGTAGGGGTTGCAAGATTCTGTATGAGGCACAAGTATGCTCACACCTTGAGTGTGCTCCACTTTCTTGGTTTGCCTGCCCCCCTTCCTCTCATCTGCGATTGTTTGACAGTAGAGAACAGAACAAGACGTCTCATCTCTCGCCTGGACCAATCCTGGGTAGATCTGTCATTTCAGCAAATCCTTCAACACAGGAGGGATGTGGGTGGCCTTACTGTTACGTACAAGGCCAATATTGTCAAAGTACCACACTTGGATCTACTTCGAGGAGAGTGTGAAGCAAGCTTCTATACCACAAGATGGGCAGAAAGCAGCAACTTCACTCTGGCTGTACCCTTCTCCAGAACATCACTCCATCTGAGATCATATATACCCAGGATGACTCAAGTATGGAACACATTTGTACAGCATTATGATGTCAATGAGATAAAGTCAGTTGATCAAATGAAAATGCTGGTCCACAGATGGCTCCAACTTCATCCTGTTCCCTACTTGTACGTTTCATAACACTAAAAAAAGGTTTTAAATGAGCTGATGTAGGTAACAGCTTTTAGCTTGTCAATAAAGCTAGGGATCCTTAACCTGTAAATAGCTTGTCAACAAAGCTAGGGATTCTTAACCTGTAAATAGCTTGTCAATAAAGCTAGGGATCCTTATTTTGTATTTTCGAATCGAATCGAATCGAGGACGACGAGAGCTGTCGTAAGATGGGAAGGAAGAAGGATAAGGAAGGATGGAAATAACTGGAAAAGGATGGTGAGGAGGGGAAGAGGAGGAATCAAGGCAAGTGGCCTTGTCAAACCCCGTATAAAAAAAAAAGAAGACAGAGAGAGAGAGAGAGAGAGAGAGAGACAAGGGAGGAAGGAAGAAAGGTCACTGGGTCTACCTAGCATGGGCCAGTAAGCCTACTGCAGTACTCTCACACATACATACCATAAGGATAGGAGAATGGTCTGATCCATTGATGACTTTCCCAGCAGCTAGAGAGGTTGCATCTCTCTCCCACAACCATTTTGTGACTGCCACATCATCAGCTGACTTTGAACCATCTACTTCCACAACAGACACTGGCAGGACCACACTAAAGTCGCCACCAGCATTGGCCTTCGGGGGTACATTTTTATCTGTAAGATGACATACAGGGTATTGTTAATACAATGTAGTAACTGTCTATTCCTGTTAATATTTCAGGAAAAGTACAAGATATATATCAAATATAACAAGTGGTATACAGTAATTAATTTCCTTAAAAGATATCAACTGGTGTTAAATCCATATTAACAAGTTACTGTATTGCACAAAATGTGAATATACTATTACTAACCTTGTATTACTGTAACTGTGACATTATCAGTAGTATTCTTAGTGGGATCATCCCCATTCCATGCTGTCAGTTCAAATGTGTACTTTCCTTTGGTTAGTCCTGAAATATTCACTTTTACCTCATCTGTCTTTAAGAAATGTGCAGAATTTGGACCACTGAAATATTTACCAACATGATGTTAATAACTTCATCTATATTATGACAAATAAAATGTTTTACTAAAAAATAATTTATTAGTGTATACAGGAAGATCTCAATTTGCATGTGAGTTCATTCCTGGAAAACATACAAACTGAATCCCCCACATATTAAATTTCAAGTTACTGCAGTACTGTACAGAATATAGTAAAATAGAAGTTATAAGTAAGGGAGATGAGAATGCACATATGATGGGGGATAAGTTATGGAAAAGTGGGTTTCAGGAACATTAGTTAATGGTCTGTTGCTGAAGAGGTGGTGAGAGACACATTCTGAGGGCAAGAGTAACATGACTGATTTTACTGGACTCTAAAACACAGTATTTCCTTTACCCTCCTCTCCTGTTTTCATTTCTCACTCTCTCTTGAAGTACCTTTAATTTGTCTTTGATAATCATATCACTCTGCCTAAATACCTCTCTCTCTACTGGCTTTTTTTCTTAACCCTTTCAGGGTTTCGGCCGTACTAGTATGGCTTACGCACCAGGGTTTTTGACGTACTAGTACGCCTAAATTCTAGCGCCCTCAAATCTAGTGAGAGAAAGCTGGTAGGCCTACATATGAAAAAATGGGACTATGTGGTCAGTGTGCGCAATATAAAAAAAAATCCTGCAGCACACAGTGTGTAATGAGAAAAAAAAACTTTGACCGTGTTTTTGGATTAAAACAGCGACTTTGCACTGTATTTTCATATGGTATTTATTGTTGCATTCTAGTTTTCCTGGTCTCATTTTATAGAATGGAAAACATATACAGAAACTGAGATGATTTTGACTGGTTTTACAAAGAAAACTACCTTGAAATTGCACTCAAAGTAGCAGAAATGTTTGATTTTTACCAAAGTTCAAAAGTAAACAAATCATGCTATGCGTCCAATACACGTCAACGGTCAGTCTAATATTCTTTCACAAGTGTGCTGATAATATTTATACCATTTCTACACCAATGCAGTAGTCGCACAACAGTAAATCTTCTATTTTTTGTGAGAATAAAAATTCAAAGTGGAAAGCAAAAGAATATAAGAGGGGCATGGGGATATGACTAATGAACAGAGGAAATGTTATTTTAGTGCCAGGAATGTCTTTCTTGTTTATTCTGGACCCTATTCGAAAATTGTCATCTTTTGAAATTTGTGTGAAATTGGCAAAATTGCTAAATTCTGACCACTGCACTGGATAGTTGAAATCGGTACATGGGTAGTTTCTTGTGCTCATTCGATAGAAAAAATGGAGTTCTAGTGAAATAGTTATGATTTTGTCGACAAGTACACTGGAATTGGGTGAAAATAGGGCTCAAAGTGGGCAAAATCGCCGATGCATAAACATCGTTGAGACCGCTAACTTCACGAGAGCATAATTCTGTAAGTTTTCCATCAAATTTCATACTTTTGGTGTCATTATGATCGGGAAAAGATTCTCTATCTTTTCATAAGAAAAAATATTTTTTGTTTTTTTTTTTAAATTTGGCCGACCCTGAGAACAAGTCTCTGAGAGGGCCTGTCGACCCTGAAAGGGTTAAAGATGAGCTTTCTCAGTCATTTTGTTCTATCTAGGCTGGAATATTGCTACACGCTAACAGCACCTTTCAAGGCAGGTGAAATTGCTGACCTAGAAAATGTACAGAGAACCTTCATGGCACACACAACTGCAATAAAACACCTAAATTACTGGGAACACTTGAAGTTCCACAACCTGTACTCCCTTGAATGCAGGCGGGAGAGATACATGATTATATACAACTGGAAAATCCTAGAGGGAGTAGTAATAAGCTTTCACATGATAATCACTCCTTATGAAAGCAAAACACTTGGCAGATGATGGAACATCCCCACAATGAAAAACAGGGGTGCCACTAGCACGATAATACACAACACAATAAGTGTCAAGGTCCGAAGACTGTTCAGCTGCCTTCCAGCATACATAAGGGAAATTACCAATCGACCCCTAGATGTCTTCAAGAAGGCACTGGACAGGCACCTAAAGTCAGTGCCTGACCAGCTGGGCTGTGGTGCATATGTAGGGTTGCATGTGGCAAACAGTAACAGCCTGGTTGATCAGGCCCTGATCCACCATGAGGCCTGGTCACAGACTGGGTCACAGGGGCATTGACCCCCAAAACCCTTTCCAGGTATACTCCAGGTATTATTTCCTCTTGTCTTTTATTTATGAATGCAATCAACATGGATCATCTTTGGTCCCTCCTGTATATTCCTGCTTTACAGCACCCACCCCTGTCCATCTGCCTCCTCCAAACCCAATCCATTCATGTATACTATCTCATAAATAATTTCTATCATAATGATTACTCCACAACGAAAATTATTTGTAATATTAATATATTAACATGGAGGCACAAAGTATTCACTCTGAAGGAAGGGTGGGCATGTTACAATTTAGAGAGTCATTTGAACTTTGATGCTCATGGACTTTGGGCAAAATAGCTATAGAAAGAACGATGGTGAATATATTTTCTTTAACACACCAGTCGTCTCCCACTGAGGCAGGGTGACCTGAAAAAAGAAACAAAAGTTTTTCCTTCTTCCTTGCTTTTAGGTCACCCTAACCTGGTGAGAGATGTCCAGTGTAGTAAAATCCTTTTATAGTATATAATATGTAAAGCAGATCCCCGGATAACGTAATTAATCTGTTCCAGATAGAGTGTCTTATACCAAATCTGAGTTAATCCGAATTAATTTTCCCCATAAGAAATAACGGAAATCTAAATCAGTTTCAGACACCCAAAAGTATTAAAAAAATGTTTTCTACATAAAATATACATTTACCTACACAGAAAACAATGATACATGAAGAATAAAACAATAATAACATCACACTTACCTTCACTTAAGACATGGTGATATATGGAAGACGGGAGAGGATGGAGGAGTTTATAATTGTTTGGAAGGGAAATCCCACTCCATAAAGACTTCAGGTACCGAGTCCTTATCCTGGGTTACTTCCCTCCTTTGTTTTTTAATGCCACTAGGACCAGCTTGAGAGCCACTGGACCCCTGTCGCTCAAAAAAGTTTTCGAGAGAGGTCTGTTTCTGGCGTATGTTAGGAATTGTGTTGGGAGACACAAGATAGTCCTTCAATAGGACACTAATATCAGCTCTTCGGCTTATTTATCTAGCACAATTCATCTAATATGACATAATAAACAATATTAATAACATAGAAACATGACATACTCTAGAATGAATAAAATACGTCATTAAGTATGCCAAGAGTGTTGCTGTGTTGATTTTGGGTGTAGAAGGGCCACTGAGACATAAGCCATACATGGTGGTGGAGGCGGCAGTAGTGGTAGAGACTAGAGACGGTGGTGTTGTCAGTCGCCCTATGTAACTCCAACAACATTGGAAGAGTTAGGTTTGTGCTGTCCTTTTTCTATCAATTAATTGCTTAACTTACTTGCTACAGTTAATACTACACTTTATCACTGGCTGTTTCTATAGCCTTTATAGACTCCTGATGCTTTAGTATCATGCATATTGCAGAATCACTGAAAAAGGCACCTTCTCCCCTCTCTCTCTCTCTCAGCCCTTTACCAAAGGGTTGGCTGGCACTAGAAGCTTTCTTTGGGCCTTTGGTGGCTTATTTAGCAGTTACAAGCACTA